GCTTGCTGCAGGCTCTCAGAAGAAGACAGAATACTGTCTCACCACAAGTTACAATACGTAGCACTAAAATTGGTAATACTTGACCATGCCTAGTAGAACATGACTAACTGACTTTACTAAATACTATTCCCTGACATATACCTTTTAGAGTGTTTTGTTTTGGTTTGTGGGTTTTTTTTGTTGTATGGTTTTGTTTTCTGTTTTGGTTTGGGGTTTTTTTGTTGTTGTTTTTGTTTGGTTGGGTTTTTTTACTGGATTTGCTGGTGCAACAGTTAAAAAAAAATCCAGATTTAATGCTAGACAGCAAGCAGAGACACAGTTAATGTCTATAATTCTCCCACTCTGAAAGACTGTCTTCTCAAAGATCAGCTACTCTGAAAGCCCTTGGTTAGAGTGTGTACTCCCAAAGAACGCAAAGTTATGGAAATGTGCCTTACAAACAAAAAGAAGTTTGTACTTTTGATTGAGAACATTTTTTTAAAAGACTGAACATGGCAAAACACTATATATTTCTGAAGAATATATGCTCAGTCACAAGACTTCCAAGTTTTTCTATAAAATATACTACAGTAGAAAGATACAGTAAAGGTAAGTCAAGGAACAAGAAAGCACTCCCTCAAAAAGGTTGCATTTTGTCTCTCCAAGTTGTGCAATAAAAGGTTAAACAAGAATGTGACCTTTTTAGAATGTCTTCTGAATGAAAATATAAAGAAACTCAAAATACAGAACTCAAAGGATAAGCCTGACTACAATAACAGCCAGAGAGTGAACCAAAGATCCTTCTCATACATTAGGGAAAAGCATAAACCTACACTTTTAAATATCTAGCTGATAATACCAATGCATTGTGAAATGTCTGACTGATCCTGTCAGTGGTATTAACCTCCCAAATTAACATTCACTTTTTCTATGCGCTCCATAAACATAAAAGGTAAGATTCTTGCCTGGTGGATTTTGTTACTTACTCTGGATTTTTTATGAGAAGTTTTTGAATGAAGTCTTTGGCAGCCTGCGAAACCGATGAAAATGTTTCTTCTGAATAATCCACATTAACTTGAGATATATTAAGGTAAGTTTCTTGATTATCAGCTCCCACAAATGGAGATTCTTGTGTCAGCAGCATGTATGAAATCACACCTATGTTCCTGAGATAAGAACACAATGTATAATCCTTCTAGCATACCTAAACAATATACCCCCCATATTTTTTGTGCTGCAGATCAAACTTCCTGATGTATGCCACACTCAAGCAATTAGAAACATCTGACATCTCATTTTTATGTGATTCAAGCATGTATGCATGTGCACACACAAGGAATGCTATGTATATATCTCAAAGGGATTTTTGAAAATTGCTTACTTTCAATATACCCTTTTCTTCCCATTGAGATTGGTAGGAAAAGGAACTATATCACTTTTACCCAGCCCATTGTTGGACACACGGCAATTCTGGATGATAGAACTTTCTAACTTGCATCTAAATAAACACCTATCTTTCACTACAATTCTGCAGGAAGTATCAAAGACTGAAATTTATCAACCTTTCTGTACAATTGACATTTGTGTTACACTATCCTCTTGCTGAGATGTTTTTCCCTAAGAACATGAATGTAAGTACCACACATCATGTGTTTTGTTATAAGTTTGAAATAGTTTCTTGATGCATAATAAAAATGGGTTTGTGATCTGATATATCAAACCTTAGTGCTCATTCGTGTGGAAACATGCAGCTGCTGTGTTTGTCATTTTGAATATATCACCAATAGTTTGGTTTTATGTCTTCCCACAAACGCAATCAGGTTATTATCCTGAGGGCTCCTTCCCCTCCCAGCTCTCCCTTTTTTGGTCAGCCCACCCGCTGAAGACAGATAAAAGTGCATCAGAGTCTGGATCTGGCCCCTAGATTGTTAAGTGGTCACGTCTACCTTAATAAAATGAATTAACATATGCAACCTACCACATATCTGTAGCTGTGGTAATAGGATCGTAGTTTAAGATTTCTGGAGCTAGAGAAAGAGATGGGGAGAAGAAAAACTCTAACATATACATTATTCAAGTGGCCTTGAATCATACACTACATTTTTGGCAGTTTTTTTCCAACCATTATTATGAGACCAAGCATGCAGTTTCAATAAACAAATTAATTATTTCCAAGGCACAAGGGTAGGAAAAAAGTTATTTCCGTTTGATTAGACACACCAATGCTCAGCTGATTCACACTGAAATGGCACTATATGGCCTAAAGTCTATTCTATCCAAGTCCAAAGATATTTTCTAATCAGATGCATGCACATAAAAGATTCTTCTAAGAGGTTTGCAAGTATATAGCTGTTTAAGGGGAATGCATAAAGCTTTCAGCATGTTAACACTGCAAAGCCAGATGACCAAGCCAATTTTAGGGTCAATGGCTGCTAGTGTAGGCTAGTTATTCACCACAGATTGAAGTGCTCTTAATTTTAAGTGGAGGCAGATCATTAAGGAAACCTGCCCCTCAGAGACGGCCAAGTGTTAATGGCAATCTGTCAGTTTCTGAGGAATAGTTTAATCTCATTAAGTCATCATACTAAGTGGCATTCCTAATTGAAAGAGCATTTCCTTGTGCATTGTATGTGTTGTATTTCAACTCTAAGCGAAAGAATTTGACATCCAAAATTTCTTGTTGATTTAACAGTCTGCATCACAGCAAATACTTTAGCATGAAATTAGAGGTGCACTTACGGGTATAATTTGGGATTTTTTTGGTGGAAATATTTGACTACTCTTAAAAGAAAGAACAGCTCACAACATGTTGCCTTGTCCTGTTGTTCGTTCTCCAGTAGTGACTGGTAAATTGATAAACACATTACATGAACTGTTTGTTTTCTCAAAACCATACATCAGAAATTGAAAACCAGCTCTTGCATACCTAGATACTCTGTTGTTCCCATGATCTGCCGCAGTTCACTAGAATTCTCAAGCTTTCGAGACATACCAAAATCTACAATTTTTACATCACCAAGAGGATTGACGCTGCTCAGCAAAATATTTTGAGGCTAAAACAGAAAAGATTTCAATTCTCAATTAATAAAATATAAGCTGCAAAAAACCCAATGTATTAAATGACATTTCAGTTTCTATTATGTAATCATTACTGATAAATTTTACTTTCAAAAATTATTTAATCTCAATTACACTCCTTTTTCTCCTCATCTTTGTTACAGATATAACAAATTACTTTGTTTATCATAATATTAAATTGAAGACAAAGTACTAAAAGACTAAAAGTCTGCTGCCGCCTCACCTTTAAATCAAGATGAACAATATTGTTTTGATGCAAGCAGCAAAGTCCTTCAAGTATTTGTCTTATAAGTCTTATAATATCCCTTTCACCAATTCTGTCATCCAGATCTGGGACACACAAGTCAAATATTTCTCCTCCAGCAGCACTGAAACACATTCAAGAACACTTACACATTAAATTTGAATTTTCAACCTTAAGTGAGGAAAAATTTTATGTATTGTAACCATTTATAGAGGCCGGGGATATATTAACTTATTTTCTTAAACACACACTTGTGCCAAGACACATAAGTGCTTAGAAAAGGGAAAAATGTGATGACGCTTTTTCTTTCCCCTCATAGCTGGCAACAGTAGCCAAGACAGTGAAACAGAACTTTGCGGCTGAAAGCCTCATAATACTTTGATACCCTCAAGAATGCGTTCCTGTAAGCGAGTGTGAAGATGCCTTCAGGAAGATGAGTTCTATCATCCTTTCCTAACAGAAGAAGCCCTTCTCTTTGAGTCAAATCTAAAGCTTCTTCTGTTAGTCCAGTTCCATAAATAATTCAAAGCAAGAAAGTCCAGCAAAATTCCTATTTTCTGAACTTGGGAGTAAAAATAATTTTTTTTCCCCTGTAATGTGGCTGTGATAATGAACAGCTAGAGTTGCTAAAGAATATTTCTGGAGTGGGATGAAACTGCATAATTGCCACCCTACGTACTGCCATTCTGATGGAAAACTAAAAATCAGATATTTCTATCAGAGAGGTATGAGGAACAAAATCTAGCATGCTGATGATGATTAAATATACAGTTGCCTACTCTGTTAGTGAGCAGTATCTTCCAGAACTCTAGTAGACACAGAATATTCAGAAATAGAAGGACTCAGCTCTGTCACTTTGAAATCCACCTTTGCCACACTAACAATGAGACTGACAAGATTCATGTTTTCACACAGCATCTCAAATATGATGACTTCCTCACATAAAGCCTGTTGTTTACTTACAGAAAACCCTACTATCAGTACAGCATAAAGGAAGCATGGAAATAACCGTGTTGCATATGGTTTATTAGTTATACTTCTACACTTAGCCACAGTGTCAGCTGTTTCCTTTTGTCCTGGATTTGAAATCATTATTCAGCCTGCTCTAACTGCCTAAAGTTTCTCTCTCAAGTGTTAAGGGCTACCTCAAAACTACAGATCAGTAAGCCTCAATTTCATCGTTAGCAAAATGGTTAGAGTTAATAAAAAAATGTTAGATAATGGACAACATGGATGAACACAGTCACTAACCTGCTGGAGCTATGTGAGATGTCAGCAATGACAAGATGCCTTTATGACAAAATTCAGATGAGAGCAAGAGAACTGGATGTCACATACTTCAACTAAAGGTTTTGAACACTGTCTCTCATAGTATTCTTGTATCCAAGTTATTACGTTATGGTCTGGATGGGTGGACACCCAGATGGGTAAAGAGCTGAACAGCTTTGTGGAAAAGGATTTGGGAGTCCTCACAGACAGCGAGCTGAATGCAGCAAAGAAGGTCAGCAGCACCTTGGGCTGTAATATGAGGAGCAGAGCCAGGCGGCTCAGGCAAGTGACTGCCCAGCACTGCTAGACCACAGCTAGAATCCAGCACCCTGGTTTTGGCTCCCCAGTTCACCGAAGACATTAACAAGCAAGTTCAGTACCAACTGAGAAAGCGAGTAAAAGAGCACCAGATGACCTGTAACATACATAAATGTAAGACATCTTCAGAAAAATAACCTCAGAATCCTACACAATGCCAAACCTTGAACTGGCAGGTACACCTCCAGAAATTTTGGTAGACAGTTCTTTGAAATAATTGGACCAAAGTGCAGAACTGCCAAAACAAAAGCCAACATACATGGCTATCATCAGGAAAGATACTGGGAACAAAAAGCAGCAAAATCATGCTCAGTGTAAAACCTTGTAGTTCTGCTTTCTGTATCTTCAAGAAGCATGTATTATTAGCGAAGATACAGAGAAGGGCAAATAAGAGGACAGACAGCTGCTTAACAAGAAGAAAACAAAGAGACATCAACCCTTCAGTTTGGATAGAAGCTTGTGGGGGTGTCTACAAATAAGGCTTACAATAACTAAAGCTGGGTTAGAGATAAACAAAGAGCAGTTATTCACCCAATCCCCCAGTATGGGAACTAGGAGGCACCTGATGAACCTGATTACTTTAAAATAAATAAAAGAATTTCTTCACACAGTAGGTAATGAACATCTGGAACTTATTACCACTGAAGCAGACAGTATCACCAGGTTCAAAAAATGACCAAACAGATTCACAGACTACAGATCCATAAACAGACACCGAAAGGAACAGCAGAGAGGTGTCCTCAGTACAATGCCTCTGGTTGCTGGGACAGTGCAAAGACAATGGACAGTAAGAAGTGGACAGGCTCATACGCTCCTTAGCTCTTTCTAAAGAGCATCTCCCTACAGCCATTGCTGGAAATGGCAGCACATCAGACAGACCACTGATCTGACTCTGCAGGGCCTTTCTTAAATTCTTCAATGAACAAAACTAGATAGATATGACAATTACTACAGCTGACACATTTCTCTCTCAATAATTGGATTCCTTCAATTACCTTTGGCCCTTAGATTAGAACAGTAACAATCTCTGTTGTGGGGCTTTTGAAGAAGTATTTTTGTCTAGGAATTCCCTCTACAAAGATAGCCTTATTAAGAACTAGCATCCATTTCTCTCCTTTATTTAGAAAACATGCACTTACAAAAACCGATTCCTACTACAATATCTTCCAAAGAACCCCACCAATACAATCCCACAACAGCAAAGACCATATGCAGGAGGAAAAACATAGCTAAACAGTAAGTGCTTATGAACTATGAGTAAGAATTTAAAGAACTCTGCTTCAGAATTCTGCTACTTAGAAACAAACAAAAAAAAAAAATCAGTGCATTCTGCTACAGAAGGACATAATTTAGAAGTGCAATCAGCCCTCTGCTTATCCCATTAGGAACACTTACTGCAAGATTTTTGAACACTACTACAAAGTAGACCTTTAACACCAATGCTGCATAAGGAAGTTGTTTCATTACAGAGCTTTAATAAGCAAGATGGAGTTAGCTGAGCTGAAACAGAAGCAGTAAAATCAGTATGGTTTTTATGTGAACTTGCACTGTTCTTAATAAGAAGTTCAAAACTGGTCATCTGGACTTGGTCTTCTGAATTATTTATTATTTTAACCTTCTCAGAACAATAAATACTATGTATGGGATCATTTAGTTCCAGAAAAAAAAAAGGGGGGTTTTTTTAGGATTATCTAGCTACGTTCTTTGGAAAATTTGAAGGAGTTTATCATGGTGTATGCACACCACCATTAATAGCTCTTCAAATACTTTGTACATGAAACTTAAGTGTTAGATAGAGACTTCCTAAATTAATTTTACAAACTGCATTTTTGTTTCTTACATTCAAAACAAAAATTTACACATACAGCAAATATGATAGATAATTCAAATTCAAATTAAATTCCCAAATTAGACTTGTTTTCAGAGCTAACCACAGGGATACCTAAACAGATAAGGGAATTTTGCAGGAAACAGCTCCAAAAGCCAAATGCTTTAAAAATAACAAAACCACTATATTTAGAAGCTCAGAACTGGCAAATGAATTGCAAGTGTTCGGTCACCAAAAAGCACCAAGCAGTGACTAACGTTCATAGAGCATTGATATCCTCAGCTTCTCTGAAATCTGTGTACTTGGTAACAGGTTTTTTTTGGGAGGGGTATGATTTAAGATGAATCAAGGCACTACATACTTTCTATGAGATTCAAGAACATGCTCTGCGGTCAGCTTACATGAAAGGAAGAAAAAAAAAAAAGAAAAATTACACCTTAGAGTTTGTACTCAGGTTTTCTATTAGGTTAGCCTGACCTGGAAGCTGATCAGAGCTCTTTTACAAAACTCCAACTAACAGAAGAAATAATCTGCTCAAATTAAACTGGCAATTTTTAATCAAAATTATCCTCCTGAGATAGTATTTAAAGGCACAAAAAAAATTTCAATTCAAAATTGAGTGAAATTGTCTATGAAACTGAGTTATGCAGAGAAGAAAGAAGAATCTTTATTTTTTGATAGCTTTTCGTTAAAAAAAATAATCCCATTTTTAAATTTTTGAGTACAGAACTACTATAGGTTTTGGTGTATTTTGTTTTATGTCAGACAATGTGGAATAACGCATAACAGCAGCTGTGGAGGTAGCAAAACACACCTACAAAACCAAAGACTGAAATGAACAGCAACTTATTTGCATGAAATCAATATCTTGCATTTGCATGAAAATAAATCATACCAAAAAAGTTCCTCAGAGCTTATAAAGTATATTATAATTAAATATTAGCATAATGTCTATAGCGTAGTATTGTAATTTTTCTGGGTGTTCAGGCAACTCATACAAAAACCTGAGTATATTACAGATTTGTAACTACAAACATGGAACATCTAATGAAGGCATACTTACTATTCCAACACCAGGATTATTTCATTTGCTGTTTCATAGACTTCATGGAGACTAACTATGCGAGGATTAGATTTCATTAATTCAAGTACGGCAATTTCATGAAGAATCTCTGCTTTGCAGTCTTGACCTCTTCTTCTTTTCTTTAAAAATTTTGCTGCATACTCTTGGCCTGTGGATTTAGCTATACATTTTCTAACCACAGCACATCTTCCTCTACAAAATAAAAGGCAAAACATTAAGACCTAAGACATAAAAAGTACCTAAATTGCCATTAGAAATAAAAAGGCATGGTAAATAATTGGAAACCAAAGAAAAAAATTATCAAAGGAATACTATGTTTGGCCTGTTCTTACACTATTTCCTAAACACCCACTTTCAGCCACTGCAGGAGAAAGGATACTAAACTAGATGAAGCTTAGGCAAGACTCAGTACAATTCCTGTTACGCAGACTAGCCAAGCATTAAATCAGAGTATCACGTTACACGTACATTCTCACTGGAAGATCACAGAATCACTGAACAACTCTGGGTGGAAGGGACTTCTGGAGGCCTCTACCAAAACCTCCTGCTTAAAGCAGGGCCAGCTAGGAGATCCTAACAGGCTGTTCAGGACTTTGTTTAGGTTGCCAGTATTATATTAAAAAAAGTCCACCACATTATAGCACCTATAAGATGCAGTAATAAACAAAGCAAAACCCTGTGAAATGTGGAGAAGGAACACAGAAAATATATTTGCATGCTGGGATGGGGG